TGCCATAAAGTAATGTTAAGGGTACAGGTTTTGGATTCATAGCTCAGTTTTAGTCATATAAACACCATTTCAGACTACAACACAAACATGCAGCTAAAGCAGAGACAGCGATAAGAACCAGGCGACCAGTTTGAGTTACCCTTGGGAGATGGGGACATACAGCCGAGTGCAGCTTTCTGTCTGAGCAGCGCTGTGACCAGCAATAACTCTGAGTTTGAATGTTTGCAGAGGCATGCCCTGGTAATCCCAGCAGAGTAAAGCAACAGGCCGGGGTGAAAGAGGTTAGCTCCTCTCTGTTGCACTGCTGTCATCACTTCCAAGTTCAGTGATGTGACAGACTAATCAACAGTAGGCTGGACAGCACGCTGTATAGAGACACTACGCACCTTAATAAAAATCTGTCTTTTAAAATACTGAACTTGCAAAGTCTACTCTCCGTGGGAGGGATGTACAGTAGAAGTGTGCATGTTTAGTTTGGGAAGGCTGAGGTCCAGGCTGGGATGGTGATGGGAAGGTAAAGCAGTGAGTGTTCCTGGAAGTGGTGAAAGAGTGAGTCTGTTGAGTTTTGCCTTAGCTGCCCCACCCCTTCTAGCTTGCCTAGTATTACACATTCTGTGGACTGGAGAGCAACCAAGCCTGTTCAATCTGAACCATTCAGATGAAACCCCAGTCTTATGTCAGACAGCCAGGGCCAAGAAAAGTGAGGGAGGTATAAGAGCAGGCAGGGTGGCACTGCCAGCCAAGACGATATCTGGCTCACACACACGTAACAACTCTATTAAGGAGGTAATAAATCTGGTGGCAGTATAAATACTAAGTATCACACTAACCACATTTATTTCACAGTCCCACTAACATGCTGACCTCCAAAACCACATCTGTACCCTTTTCTGATTAACCTCCAAGCAGCAAGACCCTCACAAGTACTCAAGCATGACCGGACCAGAACACTATTCTACAGCAGCTCAGGTCACATAGTGGATATTACGCAGCATCTTACTCGACGTGTGTTTTTGAACCTTCATTTCACCAGAGATTGATATATTTGAGATATTCGAATCTCTTTTGTGTGCTTCTGTGTTTGTAGCCAACTTTTGGGACAGGCATGAACTAGGCTAGGCCTTGAACTCATTGGTCCTTTGCCTCAGTTCGGTCACTGCCCATCCAAAGCCCCAGTGAACCACAGAGGTGTTGGCCTGAATGAAGTCACACTGTCCACCAGCAATGGAGCGTCCAGCTCTGGTCGGTCATACCCACAGCAGCCCTCACACACTCAGGCAGAGCAAACACATCCAGACTGCCAGGCAGAGCTGAAAGGCATTTCATCCCGCCATTTTATAGAGTAATTAACTTCTCTCTGTCCATGTTGAGCAGAGGGGGGGGGAAATAAAACGGACTCATATGGAGATTAAATAAACAGAGGGGGCACAGAGGACACACAACTCATTTCCCTTAATTCCTCAATAAAACTCAAGCCAGTTTTGATTGCAAACAACCCTCAAATCGCGCTCAAGGCCTGCTTGTGAGATTTGATTCTTGAAGAATGCAATTTTGAACTTGGGGCAAGTGCCACGTATCCTACACTGTTATTAACATAGTCACCATCAGCTTAATGAGACACAGTCACTTTAATGAAGTTAGTTCTCTACAACTAAAACTAAAAAGAAGTGTGGTGAGAAAGTCGTTTAGAATTATCCAGGTATAGCAGACTACCATGGGGCAGTGGATCAAAGTGGGTTCATGAAGTAAATGGATATTGGAACAGTAAGCCCTAAAGTCTTCTTCCTTTATTAAGTAAAACAGGGATGGCCCCAGCTGAGGATGAAGGTTTATGAGGTTGTTTTCAAATTCTAATTTGGCATGGGGCATGGCTAAGAGCTTGTTTTGTTTTTCCGTGCTTTAGTTTAATAAGTTCCTAAATACTCGGCCGTCTTACTGCTTGCTTTACAGCTTCAGGAGTATAGAGCGACTCAATGAAAATACCAAGGTAAGAGAAGCAGGAAATGGCTTTGTATTAGTGAGCTCATAGCTTGGCGCCATTAAGATTGTGTGTTAGAAAGTACAGAACGTGTACTAATCACTGCTGTGGAGGTGAATGAGTGATGACTGACTGCGCTCTCATTTTTTGATTTATTCGTTATACTCCGCCTCCTCCCCCCGACTTATCCTGCGACCTTTAAAAGCTCAAAGACACATGTACATGTGCCTCCACCTTCCCCCATAAAAGACCTCCTGTAGATTCAAAGGCTCTACACGAAATCATGGCAATCTAGCGTTTTCTCCGTGTTTACTTGATCGGAATGTTTTCCCTACAAGCTAAAGTGACCTTGTTTATGACAGAGAGGAATCTGTTTTTTCCTGTCGCTGTCAGTTTAACACAACATTCTTGCCGCCATCTTGCGAACCACAAACACACACCTACCTCCTGTGCACTGGTAATAATATATTTATTAACAGGAGCGATGTTAATTAAAAATGCTAGAGAATATGCAGTTTTCCAGTTTAGTTAAAAGTATCAGTGTCGCTTTATTTCAAGTTATTATCTAACATCGATATGTGTTGTTGAAGTTATTTCAGTCACACTTCTGAAAATTACTTTCATCTGAAATAGGCTACTATGTTGCAGTTGAAGAGCTCAAAAATGTGTCAATCTGTCATAGGTGGTATCGCATTTTTAAGATGTTCATGTCCCATTTAAAAAGGAAAACATCAAGTTTTCATCGGCTCTAGCACATATGGATAATAGGGCCGTGTAAGATGAGCGCCCACCTGCAGCAGCAGCCTCTCGAAGGCCAGACAGGAATCCCAGCGAGGCAGGCTTGGGTGTCGGAGAGTCTGGGCCGTGGCCAGGCCCAGCTGGAGTACCCCACAGTGACTCTCTAGCGCCCCTCGACTGCTCCGGAACAGCTGGATGTAGGAGCACAGCTGTTCGGGGGTCACACGGCCTGAAAGGAGGGAAGATGATACAGTTATCATCTAGCGAGCAATTTGGAGCCGTAAGAAATGAATCAATCAAAATCTGGCAAAGATCGTTGTATACAGTGCAATCAGAAGGTTTACAGACGCCTTGACTTTTCCCACACATTTTACAGCCTTTGGATGAAATTGTTCAAAATTAATTTCATCCAAACATAATGACAAAGTGAAAACAGAATTGTTGAAAGTTTTGCCAATTCATTAAAAAGAAAAATCTGAAAGATTACATTGACATAAGTATTCAGAGCGCTTGCTGTATTTAGCTCAGGAGCCTCAGAACATGAAGGGATCAACTTTGATCGAATTCCCTCCTTCCTGATGTTTTAGGTGGAAGGAAGGAGACCTAAAGCTGGTGGTTACTCACACTGAGCTACAAAGATTTGGGGTGAAGATGGGAGAAACTTTTGAAAGGTCAACCATCTTTGAAGCACTCAACTTTATGGCAGAGTGGACCCTCTGCTCAGTAAAAGATGCGTCAAAGCTGGATTGTATTTTACAATAAAAAGGAATGAAAGGAATCTCACACTCTAAGCAACAAAACTTTGGAGCCCCGTGGTTATCGATTTTTAGGGCGTAAAAAACCCCCAACATTCCACCATTTATAAATTCTCCTTGTCTTTATCATGAACCTCAAACTGAGACTTTGAATTCTAGCATTAGCCCACTTTCTTCTGGGTCACAACTACTATATACCTTTCTGATGATGATTGATGATGACGACGATGAATTGGAGACACAATTTGTCATAAAATCATCCAAATCATTAAATACTGAGTCGAACTGAAGTTATGTCAACTAATTCCCATGAAAACATGAATGAAAACTTTAAGTTCTAGTTACTTTTTTTTTCATTTAATTACTAAACATTTTACTTTTATTTTAGTCAAAAGATACATACCAAATGTGACTGAAATACTGGAGTACTGATAAGCTTCAATTTTGAAATTCATCAACTTCTAAAAACTTAAGGCAGTTGGTTACCTTAATTTTGTTTAAGTTCTGCAAACTTTTTCGGGTTTGCAAACATATTCTATACATACAGCATTTTAAGAATTATATTAAGGGAAAACGATTAGACTATACAGTCGTCCCTCGCTATAACGCGGTTCACCTTTCGCGGCCTCGCCGTTTCGCTGATTTTTTTAATGCAATTTTGTTTCGCGTGCTTTTGTGTGTGTGTGTTCATTGTGTTCTGTGTCCTGATCGGCTGTAGACCATTGTCAATCAATCTCTTCTGTGCCATGTCTCCTGTCCATTACAGAATGCGCTGGCCTTGTCAAATTTACATAAATCTTCGATTGCTAGCACTGTGACTCTGAAGTTGGTTTCATTCTATAATACTGGAGTTATTTTTCTAAGAAGGTTTGAACTTTGAGAGTGTTTAAACAAGAGAGAAAAGTGTGAAAATGTTCATGCCTGTCCAGTGTTGGGAAGGTTACTTTTAAAATGTATTCCATTACAGAATACATGCCCCAAAATGTATTCTGTAACGTATTCCGTTACGTTACTCAATGAGAGTAACGTATTCTGAATACTTTGGATTACTTAATATATTATCATGCTGTTTACAACTACATGAATGTACTATTGCTGTGATTTATTACTGTTACTGAAGGTCCGCGGCTCCGAACCGTAGTAAAGGGACCTCTGGCTAATACGGTGGGTTCTGTGTCGGGCTCGTAGCCGAAAACTAGCTTTAATAGCTTAATAGCTTACTTACAACTGGGCTCGTCAGGCACTCTTCTTGGCTGCAGTGGTTATTATTATATTTACATGCTTCCAGCTCCCGTTTTTGCTCGATGACAGCTCGTACTTTTCCTTTTTCTTCCTCCCTCGCTCACAGACACATAACGGGTATGGCAGTCCATTCTCCCTGCAGCACGGACTACACTGCCTATGATGCTACATTCTTTAGAGCTATACCTGTAGCATTCTGTCTATTAGCTTAGCACAACAACAACAACAGGCGCTCTCTCACCCAGGAAACAGCAGAGAGAGCGTCACCCTGTAACCATGGCAACCGTAACGCTGCCACCTGGAACAACAGAAGGTAGCTGTCAAACAAAACCCAAACAGTCCTGACCCGCTACAATATGAAACAGGAAAGTACCGCCGTGTAATCCATTTATTTCGACAAAGTAACTGTATTCTAAATACCACCTTTTTAAACGGTAACTGTAACGGAATACAGTTACTCATATTTTGCATTTTAAATACGTAACGGCGGTACATGTATTCCGTTACTCCCCAACACTGTGCCTGTCTGAGAAAAGTGTATAAAGTGTATAGTGAGAGGTTTTACAGCCTTAAAACATCTATAACAATTGTAAAAAATAAAGCTGACTACTTTGCAGATTTCGCCTATTGCGGGTTATTTTTTAGAACGTAACGATTAACGAGGGAACACTGCACACACATAGAAGGGAAGAGCCAAAAGCAGAAACAACAATAGATAACCTTTTACCAAGCATAACAGCATTAAAAAAAAAAATCATACACTTATCTTGGGGCAGAGGGGAATGACTGAGACTAAAGTCGAGCATAACTTTATCTTAACAGGCAAAAACTCCACAGGGTGAGAGAAAGCAGGCTGCACGGCTTGCATGAGTGTTGCCGTGTGACAGTCACAAAGGAATATTCTCTATATGTGCTTGTTCCTGCATAGAGCTTCTGTGATTGTTGTTAGTCAGTGACTCATAAATGTTGCACTATGTAAGCATGTGTGTAGGTGCTTAAGCATGTCTACATATAGCTGAGGTGCAGCAACACTGACAAGAGGCACTGAACCCGTGTTGAGTATGACTAATAACTGTAAATCAGAAGTTTTCACTGATTATTTATAGAGGTAGCAGAAAGAGTCCAGACTCCTTTTACTGTTTAGGAACCTCTGAATCTCCCCCAACTTCTCCCATTTAAAGAGACACAGGAAAAGCAGTGCAAAGGGTGTAAAGTCCAGGGGTGGTATGAAGCGCGGCTTAGAGGTATGAGAGGTTGTGTCAGGGGCTGGGATAGACAAAGGGCACACATTAACTCGCCATAAAGCCTACTTCTTTATGTTGATGTTCTGAACCAGCACCAGATGTGGGAGTATTTCCTGTTGGACTACATGGCCAGTGTTTTCTTTAGTGAAGCAAAACATATGACCAGAAGAGAAACAGACAGGCAGGACACAAACGAAACAGAAATCTAAAAGACATTAGAACTAGAAATGCAAAAAGGCACATGTTAAACTGGACGATAAAATGTGTAGCTTTGTACTATTTTCAGGAGGGATACTTGGGAGAGCCGCACAAAGCTGCTACCAAAGTTATATTCACAACAGCTAATCAGTAAACACGACAGGAACATATATTTCCATATGTATGTGTTGGGAAACACCTACTGAAATGAACTGAAGGACTGAGTGCACTGGGTGGCATTTAAAGACAAAACAGAGCAAGCGTCTCCGAAGGCGAATCAAGTTTCTTGTTGAATTGAAAGTATTTTTAAAGAATAAGCTCCAGTCCAGACAGAATACTGAAAAGCTCTTTTGTGAGCATATCCAGCCATAAAAATCCTGGCAGTATAACTAAAGTTCACAAAGCTTCATGTGCCAACCATAATTCAGCACAGAACCAGGGAATAATTTCACCCAGAATGGTATCCTGTAGGCTAAAGGTAATCGGAATTTACAGCTACAGCAGACCAGATGAGAATGAGAAAACGTAAAACATCGGAAAGAAACACGGAGAAAGTACTTTAGCCAAGAAAGCCTCACAAAAGCCTCCACTCCATTACACAATCAAACAGTCCTGGTTCAGCCTTAGCTCTTATCTGTGTCTCTAAACTTCCTTCAAAACAGTGCTATGATTCTTCAGGCATCCTGTTGCCAGATGCAAAATGAATCTGTTTTACGTTTTCTCATTGTCATCTGATCTGTCAGCTGAGCTCTCGTTTTAACTACCATAGCCGCAGCAAAACAGAAGAACTGTTTTAAAACGAAATGTTTGCATCTGTAAATTTGAACGCATTTCAAGAACCGTGCATTCCTTTCTGGTGGTGAGAAGCGCCAAGTACAGAAATATTTCCATTCAGTCTTCAGTGCATTGGGTGTGCATGGAATAAGAAGCTATTCAAAATAAATATAAATAACATCAGTACTTCAGAATGTCAGTTTTGTTAAGAAGAACCCTACATACATATAAATCAGCAGTACTGCAGTTTCTGTAGCTTTTCCACACAAGATGGTAGAGAAACCTGAAGCTTTTGGGCATTGCAAGAATCTTTTGGGTGCATTTATTGCAAAGTCGACCATAAAGCAAATCACATTTTTAGTCTCTTGCTATAAACATCTGGATTTTCTGCGCATTTCAGCCTGATGTGCAGAAGTGGCGATTGAGACTTGGCTATGATCAAAGTCTTCAACAATGTAAGAAGGGGCAAGGGCCAACAATGATTTAGTCCGGTTACTGGAAGATGACTTGAGTTCTAGGTGCACAGGGTTACTCAGAGGGTAAGTGATGTCTGATGTCGGAGTGAAGCTGAGTGGTAGCCTGCCTCAGCAGCTGGACAGCCTCATAAGTAACTCTGTGTGGATGAGGACGCAGGAAGGCTCAGAGATTTTTATTTATGTACTCCAAGAGGAGAAACATGTTGGAGCCTTTATCTGAGGATGTATATTAGGGACCCTTTCAAGATTTTACTGTACATTAGAGCAGAGGCTACAAGTGGGCAGCTACACTGTCGCAGCACTTAGTGTCTTCAGTGTCTCTCCAAAAAAGCTTTTATCTCTGGCTTCTCTTTAGTTCAAACTTAAAGTCAATTTCAAACTGAATCTGTTGGGGTGGGAGACTTCATTTATTCAAATTCAAGAGTGATGTTTGAAATGCATCACTGGAAATTTTGATTGTATCATTTCTGTGGTTAACACGGCTAATAGGACAAATCTATGTTTACAAATGAAATGAGATGCTTTGAAATTTTAAAAGATCTGAGTGTCACAATATGGCTCAAGGGCCATGACAAATAATAGGAAGAAATCACTTGAAACAAAATCTACCAATTTATTAACTTAATTAAGTAGAAAACGATAGTACTCAATGAGGGGTTCTAATCAGTGTGTCAGTAGTTGGATGATTGAATGTTAAGTATACATAGTGTGCAACCTAAAATGACAAACCCAAAACCAACCATACAAATAACATGGTGCTGGGTAAATGGAACAAAGGGATGCAAGAGCTAAGAAAGCCAGCTCTTAAATGCTCCAGGTAGACTGGCCCCGGCTATCATGAAGCTGCAAGACAACACAGCAGGCTCTGGCCAGGGGACACGAGTTAAACAGTTTGTGTGGATGTGACTGGTAGTAACATAATGCAGACCTACAAGAGCAGAAAAGAGATGATATACAGAAATTAGAGGGGCATTTCCTAGGACGAGTCATTCACAAAGGTGCAATCTTGTAATTTTGAAGAAAGAGATTTCTGTCTATATTTTGGCTTGTATCTGCCATGGTCCACCTCTTCACAAAATTCAACAATTTTTCATAGAAACAGAAGCAAATACGACTAAAAAAATGCTACGATCAGGTCTTCATTTCATTTGCTTTAAAAGGTAACATGCAATTTAAAAGGTTCCTTGTTCTGCGTGTTTAACTCATTTAAAATTCACTTCTTAAGGTTAATTTATGAATTATGCTGCGTGAGCTGGTGACACTGTTGGGACAAATCGATCAAATCAATCATAAGCATCTACATTGGTATGGGAACCCTGGTATAAATGCAGAAAAGCAGAAAAATAGACACTGGAGAGAATCCCAAATCACTTCAAACGTTTGAAGTGATTTAACACTTGACAATTCACCTGCCAAGTCTTAAATAAATCCGACGAACATTTGTTAAACAGACAAAAAAAATAAATAAATTGCTCTTTTATGGTGACAGAGAATCCAATTCAACAAAAACAAAACAAGAAATGAATAGGCCTGCCTTAATTACTAGATAAAATATAACATTTTTCCTCTTACTCACATGTATACATGTGAGTATATAAATTTAGTTTTCAAAAGGGAGAAATTACACTGCTAAACATAAACACATCTTTGCTGTTACAAAAATTTATTTTTCCCCAAATCAACTGTCCGCTTGACTCACGCTCCTCTGTCGTTAAAAGGCCGGACTGTGCCACAGAAAGAAAGGTCCTGTCAACACATCCCATTTACCGCGCGGTGTCCATGCACGCGGCACATACACAGAGGGTATAAACTTGTGACGCACGCACATCCACGCATATATACAAACACAAGCAGATGGATGAGATGAACGCACGTTTATGGAAGATGAAACCGAAGCTGTCCAGCTAATTCCCTGCAAAGAGCAAAAACACCAAAGATAAACACTGGACTCTGCGAAACCACATACTGTACATATCCCTACACAGAGCAGGGGAATTTCATCATTCTATTGTGCTGTGAGAAACCTGACGGGTTATATCAGGCGCTGAGAAATTTATTATTTTCTCTGTTTCTCACAGGATGATCTTATCCTGCTGAGATGAAAAGAAGCCAAGTTGGGTCAGTCTGTTTGTGAAAATTTAGGGCCTGGAATACAGCGATATCCTCTTTTCTCCTCTGATCTGCATAACCTCTCCAGAGTGAGAACACTCTTGGGTGCAGGGGGAAAATTTTCCTCTCCTAGCGAGCGAGTGGGCACTGAGAGAGCAGATAGGTATTAATGCTAAGTGTTTTGTGTTACTCTGTTTAGCTTGGTCTCAGGAGCAGAGCATGATGGATTGAAAACTCTGCTGGTGGGCAGGATGGGAACTGTGGGGGGTGCTATGGGAGCTCAGGGGGTTTTGTGAATTCTGGTCCTCTGCCAGCGGGGTATAAAGGTTCAGTGTTAAGGATATTACAGTACCCCCTTCTCTCACTGCTTCTCTCGTTTTCTCTCTCTCAGCAAAAACATTAAGTCAACAGGCTGTCAGTGAACCAGCGGGAGAAGCTTCAGTGCTATACCTTCTTTATACATTTTGCTTTTAGCGTCACTTGATGTTGCGCATTTCTCTCAATAAAATCTAAAAGCCTGCACACATCTGAAATTAGAGGGACTGCCGTGCGTGAAAGGAAACAGCCACGTGTAGATTTGGACGCCAGACAGAGTGCCTTGGGTGTGAGCATATGTGTGCGACCTCCAGCATATTACAACCTGCCTGTTACGAGAGACAAGACCTTCTTTACCTCGTAGATTATAGGAGCTAAGGGACCACAGTGCCCCTCCCTTTTACACCCCCTTTTTTGCCAGATGCTAACCTGCATATTAGCCATGAACAGGAGTGTGTGCGTATGTGTGTTTGTGGGAGTGTAGTGCATCCATTACCTCTTTAAGTCAGAAGGTAGCATAAAGGTGAACGTGCACAAGGACACTCTGCACTCGTGCATGTAATGACTTTATTTTTGCGTGCCTACGCATATTTTTATCCCTCGATTCAGTCCCTTTGCTTCATTAACAAACAACAAAAGTTTTCGAAAGCAGCATGTGTGCAGGCAGCATGTGTGTGTAAGTGTGTGTCATAGAGCCAACATGTGGTTCACATTTCCTTCTGTGGCCACATGGGCAAATACACAGCAAGGCAAAGAAGCTTGATTTCAATAGGAGGCGCTTTTGTAATGTTTTTGAGAGTGCTGAAAAACACGACAGAAGTAGCACATGATTCTCTATAAGCAAGAAAAAAATCTACATACGTTATATAATACGACTGTTCTGTGTTTTGTATAAGTTAGTCTTTAATTAATGTGAAACATGATATGGGCTCTGCTCCTTCCACGGCATAGTGGTTCTTACCCATGCTCATCTTGATTGGCAGATTCTCTTTACTGGCTGCTTCCACTAGTTGCCGGCGGACCTCTATCACTCCCTCTTTGTGTTTAGTGGTCAGCATGACGTCCCACAGTGACCTTGCAGATGACCTGATAGGTAGAGCAATCAAAACAGGCAAGTTTAGTCATGAGGAAAACATAACACTGCAATAGAAAGTGAACTGTGTTTTTTAGAACTAACAAGCTGAGCAATGGTTACTTTTCTTGCTTGTTTGTTCAGAGTACACAGAACAAGATGAGCATGATTGAGCTCAAGCCTCAGTGATAGAGAGCCTACTGGTTGGGGACTGGTGACTCCCCGATGGGAGCCCTCACAGGAAAAAACTGAACTCAACAGAGGGAACATTAGGAATGTTTTGCATCCACCTTAAAGATCTATGTGCCAACATTCCTCTGGACTGATAACCACCGTCCTTACAAAAGTAAGTCTGGAGACTGAGACTCGTCTTTGTGCCATCTCAGGCCCTAGTGTTTTTTTGTTTTTTTTTTATACGCTATTACTTAACACACTCTAATGGGAGACTGGCGACAAGGCATGCGTTTAAGACCATTACCATCTGCTTGCAAGCAGAAACGGATTCAAATCTTTCCCTAAAATAATCTAAGAGTGTCACTGAGGAGCCTCATCATCATTAAATGAATAGAAAGTGACATTTTTCTTACAAAACATCCTCTATATAAGAATTTCAGACCTTCGTCTAGTTTCTTTTCTTTTTTCCCCCCCTCATGATAAGAAAACTTAAGCTTTGCTGGTTGAATAAAAGGCCATAAAAAGCTTACATCATTGTCTGTGCTTTTGACAGCTATTCAGACAAGCGGTCATGATCTTCCACATACTCAGGAGTGCCCAGAAACAAAGTAGAGAAAGAGACTACACTGAGAAAATGAACAGAGGACAGAGAGAAGGTAGGAGGGACCTAGTTGACAAATCCACTCTGTTTTTCTTTTCTTTCGTCTTTTTTAAGAACTTTTTTCTTCGCTCGCCTTTTCTCCTTTCTAACTGCTGCCATGTGTTTAATATCAGATGTAATCTGTTCCAGACCTTGGGCAGGGGCTAGATGGGGAGAAGAGGGGCTCACAACGGGACAGCCGCCATCTTCACACTAGAGCTAGACACAAAGACCAGCAAGTACGACTCAGCCGACGACAAGTGTTAAATACAAAAAGACTGATACAGTAAAAACTTCGGGAAAATAAGGAAAGACGAATCAGATAGAATCATAATAATTACCTGATTTTCTGAATACTTTGCAGATCTTTCTGGTTAATGAAGAGTCATGGCAGGGGCCCATTCCCTGAAAACTCGATGATGCATTAAAACTGCTAAGACTAATCAAATCATGTCCCACATGCTTGTCATGGCTGAAATACCAATATTGTGACTTGACCGGGCCATATGTAAGTAACCACAAGTTTGTTTGAGGGTGTGTGCATGTATATGTCTGTGCACAACCTTGCACATCTGCATGTGTTCTTGTAAGTTGGAGGGCCTCGGCAGAGTACGAATGAAATATGGTTCTCATTTGGCTTATTGCCCACCCAACCCCCCAAAAACCACAGACGTCCCACTCCCCTGATGCTTTCCTCAGGCCATTTGGTCAGACGAAGGTGGGGGTTTGAGCTAGAATAATCCCCCCGGGGGTGAAGTTTATATTGGCAGGGTGCGAGACAGAATCAGCCAGAAACCTTATTGAGTAACTAGTCTACTATGGAAAGGGGTAGGAGGTGGGGTGCTGGGAAACTGGGGTTCGCGTGTTTGGTCATCTGGTTTTTTTCCTGAGTGCGAAGTGCAGAGTGAAGGCTCTCTTAGTTGAAAGGCTGCTCACACAGAGACTGAAGGGGGCACTCTTGCACCTGACTTGTGTACATCACGTTGAACGCCCTGTCTAGCTTGCTTGGATATGTTGAGTGGGGGTTTAAAGTGTATGGGTGTTTGTACCCAAAGTAAATTCCATTAGTAATGAGTTTTATAACATTTAAAAATAGCTAAACATCAAATACTTGGTTGAAGAAAAATCTGTGTACTATTTTAAATAATGGCCATGTAAATGTCTGTTAATGTTCTTCCTACCACATCGAACCCATTAAAGAAAGTGGGGTGTGTGTGCGTGTGGTTGGGTAACATTCCTGGAAGTATGATGCAGCATAATAGGACAGTTTAAACCATGGTGACTCAGGATTTCATGAGCCCCCCCCCAGTTCATTATTTTGTCAAACATGTATGTGCATGTTTGCCACAAAATTCAGTGTTTATGATTCAGAAAGGAGTCATACTACTGATACACGTGACTGATAAAGCCTGAAGGAAAAGTATTAGATGGTCATTTCATTCGCCACCTGGAAACTCCCCCCACATCAAAACCAAAACACCCTTAATTCCTCACTTACCTTCACTGGTATCTAACAGTTACAGGATTACATGTAGTGAGTATGTAGTGACTTAAAACTAACGACTGACACAATGAACTCATTAGGTAAGGTTTTACTGAGGTTTTAGCTAAGTGAGCAATGAGATTTTATAATCACAGACTTCTACTGAACTGGACCCCTCAGTAGCTATTAACAGAGTGCAAGTTAGGCCTCCTTCACACAGGCTTAGACCCGTTAGTGTCCAACTACCAAGCATACTGTGAAAAGTGTGTATTCCGGAACTTTGTTTTCTGGAGGTTGCTGCAGTTGCTAGTCTAAAATTGACCACAATGCATTATACATTTCTGCACCAAAATCCTTTCCGGAATTGTTGTGATTGCTAGCAGTTTCCCACAGTCACCCACAGTTTGCATGGAAGCCATCAACTTCACAGCAAATACTTGCAAACTACTTGCCATGCGGTAGAAATGTTTTGCATTTGTATTTTGAAATGCTGGTTGCAGTGGTGAGGCATAATTTTTACTTTGAAAGCAACAGTTTCCACTTCTGACTCCATCTTTCATACAAAATACAGGCAACCAAAGCAATCACAGCAAGAGTTCTGGTGCAGCACTCTCTTAGAGACTGATTTTAACCAAACACCAGCCAGTAAGCTCTATAGACCACTCATCAACCGCTGGAATATAGATTTTTCTCTAGTTCCCAGAGATTGTCAGGCGGGTCATAGGCCAGTCTCCAGGCTTGTGTGACTGAAGACTAAGGCAACCAAACACAGACTTCCCTTATCAGTCCTAAACGGTATGCCGATCTTTTATATAAGATAAGATGAAACTACTCCATAGAGTACGCTGGCATCTCTGCAAAAAGTGACATTAACAAACGCTCTAGTGCAAACCAACATTACTAATCCCAATGTGTTAAAGAGTATTGAAGTTTCACACTCGGCAGACTGCAAACCCAGAGAGTAATCCATTTCTCATCACACCTGATTTAGATGATCTGTGTATTTTCCAGTAGAACTGCACGTAATACACATGGACTAACAGAATTGTGCAAGGTCATACCCATTCCTTGGTGAGTTAATTTATGGAGTGTGTTTAATGGGGTAAAAAACACTGTTGGTTTTCTGTAAACATCCCCATCTAGCACAGGACATGACACGAGAGAGAAAGAGGGCGGGGGAGTAAAACCAGACCTGGCCTTGAGTGTCTGTGTGTTCTGGCGAGAGGGACAAATGACCCAGTGAATTTATGGGGAGAGGAGTTTTGCAGGAAGCGAGGAAATGATGGGAGAGGCACACCACAAACAGATAAATAAATAATAATAAAAAAAACAGTAAAATAAAACAAACTGATGTGAATTTGAGGGTCAGTTCTATGTGTCTTAAAACTGCACTTCTTTAATAATGAGTAAAAGGTTTTTCCTTTTACTACTCCAAATAAAACAGTAAAATATGCAATCGTTAAAGGAAAGGAAGCTTAAGAAATTTTGCACAAAAGTCATCTCCCTATAGGTGTTGGCTGCACATGAAGTCAAATAGAATGAAATGTCCTCAAGTGATGTTGCTTAAATCTGTCCTGATTGGAGCTAAAAACTAAAATGTTAATATAACCTATAGATCCTGGTCCTTGTGTTTACATAAGCCACTGCTAGTCTAAAATTTCTGAATCTGAATTGAATCAGTCATTGTGGATAATGTAGGTTCGAGGCTTTGACATAAAATAAAATGCACGGAGTAAAGAAATGTCTGAGTAATTTCATTCATAGAAATAATGTACATTCAATTTAACACGTCAAAGACAACTATAAACTGCTACAGCAAATAAATAACATGATAATAAATAAATGGGTGCTTCTGTGGCAGAGGTGTGGTCCTGGGCTCAGCTTCAGGGGAGGTGTGGTGTAGTGAACACAAAGGGGGATGCCAGGGAGGTTGGTGGGATGTGGGGGTGATTTTTGGCTAACAAGCTCATGATCATTTTCTGTGATTTGTAATTTGTGAGGCCGGAGAGTAGAGAGTGTGTGTCAGATGTAGAAATCTGCATGCGTAGGTGGAGAGGCAAAAGTGAAAAAGAAACTATCAGTAGTGTGTCACTGAAATAAAGGAAAATCAACATAGACAGCGTGTCTATTTGTTGTCCGTTTCACACTGTTTTATTTACTTTTGTACTGATACTTCTATTTATCTACTTTCACGTGTAATTTTTATTTGTATTCATGATTTCATTCATTTTTCGTGGTTAGTTTCCATATTTACATCTCTATTTGGCATTGCTGCTTCCTCCATTTATTTCTTTTGCAAGAAGAGAAATGCATTTATCGTATTATTTATGAATTAATTATTTAATGATGCTACAAAAGCCAAATAGAGTGGCAGTTTGAGCTTTTCATTTAACAAAAAAAATAAATAAATAATCACATTAACATTAAAACATGCATAAAAGATATCAATTAAATCTTTATGCCTAAGTGAAAGAAAGTCAAGTCTTCTGAACAGAGTTATAGTAAAGACATGTTAAAAAGTGTCTTTTTTGCAGCACTGGCAGAATGGTAAAATGTGGGAGAAGGTGAAAAATTAAAGGATCTTGATGGGGGGAAATGGAAACGCAGGAGTCTTCCTCTCCTCCCCTGTCTTGGCTACATTCACATTTCAAATAAAAGCCAGCAGTAGGGGCTCTTTGAAGGAATGGGCCTGGAGGAAGTAAAGTACCATTTTAGGGAGATGTTTTATCAACTCAGTTAACAAATACACACAAAGTTTCCTGAACAGCTCTTGTGTTCTGCAGCGAAAATTAAACCACAGAGTAGAAGACAGCATACAGGACTGAAAAGGTTATGTTATCTCAGTCTTGATGGGAACACAGAGTACATGTTGTTCAGGTGCACGTAATCTATTTGATTGATGTACTCTGAGTTTCAGCTTGAGATACCTTCTTCAGAAGAGTAAGCAGAATTAGGGAGTGAATGAAACAGAAACAACTTAAGAGGAGAACCACAAGACACATCAGCTTACTCCATCCTTAAATGTATTATTATGGCTAAAAACTTTGCATCTCTGACACTGATATAAACTTTAGTTTCCAAATCAGCTGTACCTGTCATTAACCTTTAGGAAAAGTGAAAGTGAATAAAATCAGATTGAAAACGGGCTCAATTTTATTAAAGGATAAGAAATTATTTTCACAATTTAATGCAATAATCAAAAGATACAAAGCAAAACTGGTTCTCACTTTGGATTGACTATTATTTTTAAGAAATGAAAAAGTCATTTTCCCTTTTTGTGTCTTTTCCTTTGGGCACACTTTCTATATACGAAACATTTATCATTAGTTGTAAAATCAGCCAACACTGAAACCAGTTACTATAAATGTTCATTCAAATACAAAGGCAAAAACCTCACATTTGACCAGAAGCCACATCCTATGCAGCATAGTTCATTTATGCTTGAACCTTCTTCTTGTGTGTCTACGTTATGCAGGACTGTATAGGAACTCATACTATACTGTTGGCAAGGGGCAGAATGGTTGTTAAGCTTATAAATCACTGAAAGACTCATTCAGCTGTTCATGCCACTATTCACTGTCTAAGTATAGAATAACAAAACAATCTCAAACCTTTAAGGAGAAACCGTAGAAGAAACGTGGCGACTTTTCATACTCTACTCTTATTCTTGGTAGAGTAAAAACAGGCTTAGCTATCCTCAACTGCCTGTCATTTGCTTTATCCTCTCCACCCTTTACTATCTAGGCTGTTTTTGTTACTTTTCTCATACTGTTCGAAATCAGTGTTCATGGCTTTTATTCATGCTCATACTTCCCAGCTGGGACAGAAATAGGTGTTTTCCCTCTTTTCTGGTGGTATGCATGAGGGATCTGCAGGCCAGATTTGTGGAGATGGCAGCCATGTAGTGTTTTCTCATGGCAGGGTGCGGTCAGTAACACTGCTTGGCTCAATCTCTACAGCTCCCAAGGCAGGCCCAGTTCACCTTGGCCACCCATACTTGCTTCTGCCCACACTGCACACACTCCCGCCACAGCATCAAGGTCCAAGGCGGCCAGATGACGGGGGTGCAGGGTTCAGTCTGAGACTGAGGAAAACTCTGTGCCTTCTGCCAATGGGGTTCAAATGTCCTACTCAGGATCAAAAGGGCTGTGAATCCAAGCACAGCAAATTATATAGACGGGACTGGTACTTGACCACAAACACACACACACACACACGCGCATATAAAACACTTTGACTGCCACTTTCACTCATCATATTTCTATATACACGAAGTGGCGCACCCTGGTGCCGTTTAATGGCTGAAAAAAAGGACAGTAGCAGCATAGCAATAGCAAATATACAAAAACACTGCACGAAGAGCCTAGGTTTGCATGTGCACTCACCCACACGCTGTATGCTTTCTTTCTGGCATGATTACTACAACCACAGAGTCAGGCTGTAGGATATGGAAATTCACACCAGGTTATGAAAGACAATACTAGAGTAATTGCACAGTAAGTGTGGGGTCTTGCCTGTAGAGCTAGAATCAACAGCCACCCACAGAATGTTTAAGACATAGTAATCTATAAAAATATCCTGGAATTACAGAGGGAAATATCATACAAAAGGTCTAAATTAAATCCACACCTAATATTTAAAGGGTTGAGATGGCATACATAACAAAACCAATAAAAACACTCCGTTACCCACGCTAAAAATAGCTAAAAAACATCATGGGTAAATAAACAGCCAGTAGGAGGGAAGAACAGTAGACCTCTAAAAACATGCATTTAGGGAACTCTGTCTCGAACATATTAGAATGATTGACATAAACACTTCCTGCAGTGAGCTGTGCATTGAGGCCAGTTAAAGAAAGTGGGAATTCTAGGCATCTCCCTTGCTCTGCTTCAGCAGCATTTCAATCTCCTACACATCTGTGATAAGGCTCAGCTGGATCATCTGCTTAGAGATAGTGTAGGGAATAACTCTCCTGCTGATCCAACTGGCCCTGATCACAGATATTCTCCACCGACACTGTCGTCATTTACTTATTACTTTCAGCAATACTTATCTGCATTTTTTTTTTCTTGGCAGAGCTTGTTCACAATATCTGAATGGATCATCTAAATGTTTTAAGATCTGGTGTTAGGCTGGGAGTCTGGTCATATTTGGTGAAAAGCTCAGGAACAGTGATTGTGGTTGGTACCTTTGTTTCTGTTATCAGTTTTCCTTGGGGTGGCCCATTTATACCATCATAAAATTACCAATGAGAGGGCAACCTTGTTGATGCTGTACTTGTAATTATCCAGATTTAATTCTGATGTGCAGCTATTCAGAGCAACTACAGTAATTTGTGGGTATACCGTAGTTATTTGGTAGATAGGAATCCAAACTTGAAATGTACATCCAACCACATGTTGGGGTAACCCTGCCTAGATGTCCTTAAATAATTACAAGGGGAACACCAACTAGAAAAACGGGTTCTCTTACAAGAGAATCTTTACCATAGCTCAAAACAGCCCTTGCTGCATTCAGTATATGTGTGAGTCCATTCATGAAATGGAGTCAGACATGCTGCATGACAGCTCAGTCCACTAAACTCTTCTTCTCAGTCAAAGTCTTTTCCTCCAGCAACCACATAAAGGGGCAAATCCAGGATGGAACACTTGATGTAGGACTAATCCTTGCCATGGATAACAGCACCACCGCAGGCGCCTAGCATGTGCATCTGCAGAGCTAAGACCAGAGGCAGGTTTCACTCAACTATTGGCACTAATGTTGATCATGTGCTACTTAGGCCACTTGATGGAGTGGGTAGCTCTGGCTGGTAAGTGTGCATTTGTCCATAAGTATGCCTGGCTTGGGGAGAAATCTATTTTTAGGTTGTGTTAAAGGATGCCTTTTTACTCATTGCCAATTTATAGAAGACAGTAATGTAAAAAGAAACAACAATTATAATTGATCTAATCCAATTAATCTAGCCTGCATGTCTAAACTGCGGTAGGAAGCTGGAGCACCAAGAGGAAAACCACATTAGGACAGCAAGATCATGGAAACTGGAAACACAGAAAGGCCCTAAACGGTGTAGAGTTCAAATCCAAACATAGCTGTTACTCTATTTCAATTTAACTTACTTGTGGGATATCAGCTTAATTTATTTTCTTAAAAAAATGCTCTCTTAAATGAATAGTCATGCTTTCACTGTAAGAAACAGGGCCCTTTCTGTACATAGAGAAAGTACATTTTTCCCATAACATATAAAGTTAGGAAAGGAAAGCTGGCTTTGTGCGGCAAGAGAGCTGACCTGTCTAAACTCTGTTTAGACAAAAGGATTTTATCTGTCCAACCATCTTCTTTCTTTTCTTTTTTTTAACCACTTATCAGGGTCTGGGTTGTAGGACTAGCAAATTCCCTCTCCCTGACCACCAAGGTGTTCCAAAGCCAGCGGACAGACGTAATCTAGCATGTCGTGAGCCTGCACTGGGATCTCATCCCAGTTTGACATGCCTGAAACACATCACCTAGGAGGCATTCTGGTTATATCCCCAAACCACCTCAGTGGAACAACCTCTACATAAAAAGGATGTAGCAGCTCTACTGTCAACCTCTCCTCAATGACTGAGCTCCTTACCCTACTACCGAGGTTGAGCACACACAGACATCAGAGGAAGCACATTTCTGCCACTTCTCACTTATTTCTTTGGTCACTATACCACTGCATGTAGAGCAACCAGTAAACGGACAGCTTTACCTTTGTGTACCAGTTTATTGATTTGGACTGGTACAGCCACAGCAGCTGTAAGTCTCCAACTCCACTTGCGAACAAAAACTTTAGATACTTAAACTCATTAACTCGGGGCAGCAACTCATTGCCAGCAAAGATTGAATAAACCACCGTCTTATGCCAGAGAACCGTTGTATGCAAACACATTGTATGAAATGCCAAAATAAAATATTTCAGATCTTCACTTGAGAAATATTGTTGCAGGTAGGTTATGGCTATGAGGGTACAGCACACGGCAATACTGCACTAATACTGACATTTATTGTTTTAACAATTGGCTGAAATTAGGTGAAATGAATGATCAAATGGTTATAATAAATCAGACAGCAAAAACAATATCAAAGTGCTACGTATGTCTTCAATATGTACTATGATGTATGTAATGTATACAAGTGATATGTGGTACTTCTGCAAGTATTGTAAATAATGGGGTCAGAGTAGCCCTGTGGCAAAAACTAACACCCCAAGCTGGTCATTGCTGTAGCAACACTTGGATGTTGCCTTTATGATGTGCTATTGCCAAGTCACCCTTATTAGATTCTACATGACGGGGAATGCTCTAAATCAATAGAGAAATTAAATACACTCACTGAATCTGTGCAAGACAGCCAGGGGCCAGGATATTCTTGGAGTGAGGGGTTTTATGCAGACTTGTGAGCTCCAGCATGTCCACCTGCACGTCTGTCACATGACCCGGTAAGAGTTTTAGCACAGTCAAAACTTTCTCTACTAGGTTGTCACCATGATGACCAACAGCCCCTGTAAATGAATAAATTGGGGATTTAAAACAAGAACAAATATGTGTTGAGTATGTAGCAACAGTCGTTGGTAACGCAACAAAAATATGTGCCTTCTATACAACATAAAAGGTAAGCAATTAATTTTCCCAAGGAGCCACAAAGAAAACTGGGACTGTTGTGGAAGGCCACATCAATAAGCTGAACATTCCCTGGCTACTTGGGTTACTTGGTGTAATAGGTAGCTCTGGCTGGTGAGTGTACGGTTGTACATATGTATGTTGGTCTTGGGGAGAAAAGTATGGAAAAATATATGTGCATCAGAGGACAACTTGATATAAATATTCGTTGGGAGGTGGCTAAGGTAATATCTGCAGTGCTCTGCAATAACTAATCTCATTGTGGGTGGTATTTAATTTTAATGATTGCCGAATTACAGTAGACAGGAATGTAAAAAGAGGCAACAATATAAATGTATACTCAGAAAGACAGAAAGATCATAGAAACTCGACACAGAAAGTTCCTAATTGGTGGGGATGCCCAAACCCAAGCATATCTGTTATTCTTCTTTAATTTCAGTTTATCTATAGGATATCAACCTAATTTGTGAGGCATTTTTTTTC